AACCGTCCGAATGCCAGTCTCTGCAGAGATCTAATCCGATTCTTCGATAAATCCAAATGCTTCAATTTACTCATCCCATCCAACGCCTCGGTTGGGATTTGTGACAGCCGATTAAAGGCCAGTAACAGTTCACTGAGTGCTGGTTTCAAGTTTGATACGGTTTGATTGTCTAGCCTGAAATTACTTTCAGGTCTTTCAGGTCATGTATTATTATTAATATTATCGTATTATAAAAATAAAACTTACGTAATAAGTTTATTACTGTTCATATTGAGATACTGCAATATGCGCAGTTGTTGCAACGCAGATGGCAGAGTGTGAAGTTGATTCTCCTCGAGATTAAGTCTCTGAAGGGATTTTGCGATATTCGAGAATGTACCTGCGGGGATATGAACAATCTTATTGTAGGATAGATCCAGTTGTTTCAATTGACTGATCGAACTGAACGCATTCGCTTCGATTCGACTGATCTGAAACCGATTTTTGATCATGATCACTCACGCTGCTGATAATTTCCTTACTGATAATGATGAAGGCGTAGTAATGGTGATAAGGGAGTAGAGTACTGATAACAGTGATAATAGAGAACTGATAATAATGGTAAGTGAACCTGATTATAGCTGAGGTCAAGCCGATTGAACTTTTGGAAACTGTTGAAGGCCATATCGTTCAACGCCGAGATGCGATTATTACTCAGTCTCAGATCGATTTCTGAAGAGAACTCAACCTCGGGATGAAAAGATATCTCGGTGATATTATTGCCCTCCAAATCGAGATTTCTCAGCGATCTGAGCTCTCGTATAGCCAGATATGGTATCTGAAACATTCTTTCATTCATTTAGATAAATTTGAACAAGTTGGATTCGGATATCGGAATTTGATCGACCACCTCGATCTGATCTTACGGGAAACTGGGAATATTTGATACCGTTGAATAGAAAAGATTCTCAGCTATCACATGGTATATATTGTGTCAAGTGATTAGGATTATTTTTAGAGATATAGCCGGATTTGTAGGATGTATCTTATGGCTGAACAGGATTTACGTTCTCAGGTGCTAGATTAAATTTTAATGAATAATAATGAAAGATGATAAATAACCTGTTGTAAGACATTATTCTTGAGATCAATGAACCAGATCGATGAGGGTAACGCGAGTTTTTCGATTTCGTTCAATCGATTATTTGCTATTGTTAAAACTTGTAAGGGAAGACGATACAGGGATCGACTTGGCAGTATTGTTATCTGAAATATTAACAATAATAAATATGATAAAAATAATTTATATAATAGTGTGCAGCGGACCAATACCTGATTATGATCTAAATGTAAAAAATGAAGATTTTTCAATTGAGTTTCATCAAAAGTCGTCGATCTGATATGTTTGATGATATTGTTTTGCAGTTGAAGATATTGCAATTGGTAGAGATACGTCAATGCCCAAGCCGGTATCGAGCTGAGACTGTTCCCGTTTAGTATCAATTGGTACAATTTACTCTGCAATATTTATTACTTATATTCTACCATATCATTAATTATTTGTCATATGACCGTATGAAATTGATCTACCAAAGAGATACACATGAAAACTACTTTGGATTTGGGTAATTTGAGATGTATTTAATCCCGATAGTTTCAAAATACAATGGTGATAATAATAATAATAATAATAATTTTTATAATAATAATAATGAAAGCAAGACCTCGAGAGTTCGAAAGGCATTCACATTAATAGTTTCAATATGATTATTGGTGAGATCGATCAGTTGAATGTTCTGATTCTTGAAGGCGTCTTGCGATATGAACGACATACTGCTCTCGACGATTGATAGAGCCACGATACTATACACAGTCTCCTGTAATCTCTAGCCTTATCAGTACATTATCAGTAATTTGGCTACAGTATCCGTTGGGCTTATCACTTAGGGTGTCCATAGTCTTAGCACATTGATCTATTATCATTGTGAATTCCCGAATAAAATGATAAAATGGCGAACGATATCGGAGAATTTGAAACGGTAATAAAAATGATTTTAACTGGCACGTTTCAAAAAATGTGCTGAAAACAGGCAGATCAAAGCGGATATATATCCGCTTAACAAATACCAGATGGCTGCTGGCAGTTCATTGCTGACAGATTTAGTTTTATTCATTATGTTTTACATTTATTATTATATTTGTCATATGTGCATATCTGTTTTTGAAAGAATTTTTGTTTATTCCGTTGAGTATCTGGATTTTTAAGCGAACCATAAAATTCTGATGATAGCACTTTGAACATATGGAATTTCACTTCGTTTACGAGCTTTCGGTTTGAGTCACTTGATTATTTATTATTGTTAGTTTGACTGATATTTACAGATGTCTATTATTATTGTATTTATTGAAATTACTGCTGTATTATTATATATTAATATTATTATTATATATTGATAATGTATTTATTATTGTTATTATTATTATTTTTGTTGTACCCTACATTATGAGAATGTGGTGTCCGTTGCTCTACAGTAACGGGTATTGAAGGTACAGTAATCCAAGGCTGTCGTCTGCATCGGACGTGTACGGTAGTCGACTCAGAATCTACTCCCTCACAGATGCATGTTCGCCATTTTGAGCTCGGTGACGAATCAAACCTGAAATTGGAAAATGCTTTTAAAATTTTAATATTAGGTATTGTTATTGTGTAAATGATAAACAATGAAACTAACATGCACTGGTGCTCGGTAGTCATCGATAATGCTTGTGCCATATGGAGAAATGAACGAATCAGAATAATATTTGCAATAATAGTAAATAACAGATGATGTGGTGTTGTTCGAGACTTGAATATCATAGTTCGAGAGACTGGAGAGCGGGCAGAGTGACCTCTAGACGGAGTCTGAGCCCATTCAACCAAACAATTCAGTGGTTACAATTGGCCATAAGTAGTAACTGTTGAAGTGATGACGCTCTCTCATCACATTGGACTGAATTCTGGAAAAAATAATCCGATTTCAGACTGAATTTCCGGCTGCTTTTAACGAAAACCTAACGGCGATTAATAGGTCAGATATATTTCTAGCGAATATTGTCGCAGAATGTTTATTTTTGCAAAAAATTTTCATCAAAGTGAAAGGTTTTTATGAAATCATGGGATTTTTCGTGGAAATTTCACCGTTTCTCAAACATTCGACCAAGAAATGTCGTGGGTTTGCATAAAGAATGAAGAGGATTCATGAATTGATCCAGATTTTTGGATTTTGTCAAAAACTGAAAATATTGTCAAGCTGAAGTCGTCCAATACTATGAATGGAGTCTTGTCTACGGCAATCGTTTCGTTGGATAATTTGCTAGAAACGATCTGAATTCTAAGATAAAGTTTACGAATGGAATTTACTGACGAAAGAAAAATTCTTCCGCAGTCCCAAAGGTATCATTTCGTTTGGATTCGAGAAATTTAATGTACTTTTTTGCATTAGTATCGATATTCATAGTGCGCAGTTTATGAGATGTATTATGATTGGCTATTAGACGGATATGACGAGATATACGGATTTGGCTTGAATATTTGTCATTCGTTTAGTTATTTGTAGTCGTTTGTGAGAGTGCAAAAACATCTGTTTATTTAAAATTTTTAAACTGATCTTAGAAAATCTCAAAAATGCTTCAGAATGATCACAGCTGATCACTGAATTTCAAATCATCACTGAGTTGAGATTTTTTTTGTTTATTTGAAGAAGCCTGATATTAATTTTCGAGAAACCTGGAATTTTTTGGTACCATATTATTCAAAAGATCCTCTAGCTTCCAACAGTTTCAATATTATTGCTGTAGGTTGTCTCATTCACGAGAAGTACGACAAAACAGCAACCCAATTAATCGCTCTCTACTGTGATGGTGGTGGCAAAAATCTGCGACGCTGTCCGGCATCGAACCTGACGCCAATGGACAGTGTGCATGCACAACAACAATTTTTGATCTTATGCAACGCAAAATTAAAATATTTATTCAAAATTTTTAATTTCAGGTCATCTTCTCGCTCAGATCTTCCAGAAACCTTCAAAATTTGGACACTACCATATCTGAATAACTCTTTTAAACCTCAAAACCCCGCATTAAATCCCTCAAATTCAACACGAACGCCCCTATCCTGACGGAATAGCACCAGAGCTGCACAATAGCTCGCTATTCCGGAATAGCTATTCCGCTTAGCAGGGAACCAGCCGATCCCGCTAATCCACTGGATTAAATCCAGTGGATATCACTTCTTCAATCCGATATGAACTCCTGCCCCAATTCCTGTTAAAATCCCTAATGTCTAGACTAAAATCTCGCCCTCAAAACAGTCTCGAACCTGAAAGTGCTCAACGAATCTGAACTGAAAAAACGTTTGGGGATATAAATGTCGGAAAAGATATGAAATTGAATTTATAGGACAAAGAAATCGGTGATTGGTGAAGTTGAGTAACGTTAATAAAATAACAGTTGCTCAATAGATTTATGGACAAGATCAGATTAACACATAGAGAGAGGAGATATATCCGTTTATAACGATTATATACACCAATGAGATGGATATTCACCTAGAGATATAACGTAGTAAGCACAAAAAATGAAAAGCAATGAATGAACGCTTTATTTGAAACCAACAAAACAGCTGAAGAGTACAAGAAAATTAGAGGTTTAGACAAAAAATTACGGCAGAAAATGGTGAAAATGTGAAATCCTGAAAGCAGAATGAATAAATTTAGATTTTAGATCAAAAATTTTAAGGGAGTAAGAGATTTTTTAAAAACAATTTATGAGTTTGATCGAAGATTTGGGATGTAGATATGAATGGATTAGAGATTTGTGACGAGGACAGACTAGAGGAAATGGCTTCGAGTCGAATTGAGCCTCTGATATCCAGGCCGAACCGCGACTGCCACTCCGATTCTATATCCGACTTCGAGTTTGACTCCGACCTGCCGCCTGTTACATATAGAGTGATCCCCCCCCCCGGAAATCTCCTTTAGTCTGTTTTATTTTATGGGTTCATTCAATATTAAAACTGTGGAATAAAGACTGTAATACTTTTCGCTGCGAAAAGTGATCGATTGGCTGTGTGATCGCGCCGCCGAATTCTCAAAAAGTTTTTGATCAATTGCCGATCAGAACTGTCAAAATAAAGCGCTTTTTTTGCCTTCAACGAATGCCATTCACCTCGAAAAACGTCAATTATATTGGCAATTGGAAACGGTAAACAATTTTGAGCGATTTCATTTTTTGAGCGATCGGAAGTTCGTTCGAATAAATATTTCGGACATTATTTATTATTATTATAATTACAATAATAATAATAATGGTAATAATAATGAAGTGATGTTAAATCAATAATATGGTAAACAAATCTGAATCCGTTTTGAATTAATGATTGAAATGATAATTGAGTTAGTTGCCTTAGGGTACGTCGGATTAGCACGGCTTTTGTCTAAAGACGAATTTTAAAATAACACTAAAATTCATTAAATCTAATGCAAAAATGTCGGAATTTTCGATGTCAAATAACGAAAATTTTCAGTTTTTTGGCATTTTTATGTGAAATTTAAAACGAATCGTTTCTATTCGATTTGTAAATGGAATTCCATTAAACCAAATGAGATTTTTGACAGTTTTTTTGCAATGGCAATGAAATTTGTTGGGATTTATTGGGTATATAATTTTGGTTTATGTGACTTTTTATGAGATGTGAATAATCACTGAGATATTTACTGATGGTAGTCGGGAGTACTCTCGAATAATGGACTGAACTGAAGTGATTAAGATAAAAATATATAATAATAATATATAATAATAATAGTAATGATATGTAAGTTTTAAAACAATTGCGATTAACACATGTATAAACAAAGGATTAGGACATCATCTACATATTAGATAAGCCGTTCTAATATCCACTAATATCTTATCTTTTATTAATAATAACAACAATAATAATAAATATAGTAATAATATATAATAATATTTAATAATAATATCTAATAATAATGTCAATTCAAGTAGTACTCACTGAATTTGGAAACAATCTCAGATATGCTAATAATAATTATTATTATGAAGCAGAAGCAGCAGCAGCAGCAGTAGCAGCAGCAGCAGCTCACTTCAACTGGCCTCTAATGGAGAGCCAACTGACTAAGAGACTAAGGATATATTATATCCGTTTAGTATCCTCCCTCTTTTCAGCGCTTTCCATCTGTGTGCCTCGTTACTGCGTGTGTATCTCCCTTATCCCAGATCGAAACCTTTCCCTGTCTGTGTGTCAATGGCGAATCGAATTTGATCTCTGCTGACAGATCGATCAGCAATCAATGCAACACCACTGATCATCTATTTCTCCTCATAGCGCCAGCCGCCGCCTCGAAACGTTCATATATCTTTCGGATGCGCAATGAAATTCATTGAGAATTTCGAAAATTAACTGATAAGATCAATGAAATCTCAAAAAATTCAAATTTTAATTTGAAACTAACTATAAGCAATAAATTGAATAATTGTAATCGACGATCTGATCATTTATTTCGAAGAAGTGTCGTCATATTTCAAACTTTTACATTTTTAAACTTATACAAATTTTAAACTTTTCAGGAAATTGTTCGCGTTATGCTTTTGCTTCAAATACTACAATTGCAACGAACCAGCGAAACAACAACAGCTTTAGATCATCGCAGTCCCTTGGAATCAGGAGATTAGATCAGCGATATCAGGTATCTCCTTATATCCCTTTCCACCTTAAACCGAGCTAATATCCCCATATAAATGGCTTTACCCTCCCCCCCCCCTCCGGAAATTG